CTACCCACTACCACCTCCTTGCCACACTTTTAGCTGCATTAGATGAATACACACGATGCAGAAGAATAAACGACAAACAGACAGACAACATTTTGTATCTATTTGTGTGTGATGTGTGCGGAAATTCTTGTAATTTGCATGAGTTGCCCGGAGCAGCTCGTGCGGGGGAAACTCTGGCTGGCTGGCTGGCCGTGATGCCCACCCACTTGAGCTAAAGCTGCAAGAGGCAGGCGAAACGAGCCACGCCCACAGAGCACATTATCAATAATTAATTAATGCACGTTGCATCAACTCGAATGCACAGATGTGGGCAGATGTCAGTCGAGGGAAACAGACTCGGCTAGCAATTAGAGCAAGTCCCTCTTCATTTGGAGACTTACGTTACGTTACAGCAACCAGGCCGAGTTCCAACTAATTGACGAGCACGTCATGCTACCCACTCACCTGTCAATTAGGATAACTGGCAAGTCCTGCAGTTCGGCGTTGAGACTATTTTCTAATAGAGCCCACACAAAACAAATACAAGTTAATATCGTCTATTATTAGCTGAGATATGCGAGAAACATCCAATTACAGGTGTGCAGGCAGATAATTAAAGAGAATACCTGTATTCTTTATTTATCTGACAGATGTCGACTTTCCGATTCGTCATACGAGAGCTGTGAAAAATTGGCAAAGCTCATTTGAGATACATCTTTTATCTCGCGTAATAGGTTGTATCTTCGAATCTATCAGGTGGGCCTTTAATTAGTTCATATAAAATATCCCTTAAGTAGTAAAGCTTGAGCTAGTTTGGGTAGACTAAAATATCCTAGAACTTAAAAGTGCTCGAGTCGCAAGTGCCCGACTTGTGGTTAGCCTGAACCACCTTCTTAAACAAACAAGAGAAAGTTAGGATATCTTCGGCACGTCGAAGATTTAATACCCTTGTGGACATTTACCTTTTGTAGATATTTGAGAATAGCACAGCATGAAAATGCGAAGTCTATTCAAATATCTTTGATAACAGCATATTTTGCTATATTATGCTATTCCACCGATCTGTCCTATAGCAACTGTATGATATAGTTGCCTGATGTTGATAAAATTTTGCATATATATATAAGTATCTCATAATGGAACCAATAAATGCCCAGTTTGATCAAGGTTTCTTAGTAAATTCCAATGTCAGCTATATGATATAGTATTCCGATCTATATATATTATGAGTTTGGGAAATGACAAAACCATGATACCCTCTACAAGGGTATTTAGTTTCTTAATGAAGATTATGTTAAACATTTAAGATTTGCAAGAACTTAATCTTTGGCAACTTGAAAGATAACTGATTTTTCGAGTTCGAATTCGAGTTCGAGTTTCGATCAGCTGTTGGGTTTTGCAAAATGCGTATCAGAAATTAAATGAATACAGTTAAATTTCCGTTAATTTCAAGATGTCCTTGACGTGAAGTGTTTCTTCTTCTTCTTCGTAATCAGTTGCCAGTTGCAAACTGTTGCCAATTAGTTGGACTTTGAGGAAACTCAACGAGCAGGAACTTTGCCTGCGGCTCTTGCCGCCCCCCCCCCCCCTTCGCCTCCTGCCCTTGGCTGGGCATTTATACTGCTCGCTCTCGCTCTCCTTCCCCCTTCTCTTTCTTGTGGGCTCTGCTGCACTCATTTGCTCAACTGATGAAAATTAACAAAAGCAAAAACGTCGCTCGTTTTGTTGGCTCTGCTTTGGGCGCTGCTTTTTGGCCGCGCTCGGCTCTCATTTATTTTGCGCGACGCAGCAGCAGCGACGCGGCAGCAGCAGCGGCGGCGGCAGCGGGAGAAGCCGCAGTTCCTTTTCATTTCAAAGCGACCACAGAAACGACGACAGCGCGGGCAGAAGAAGAACGATGCTCACACTCACACACACACACATGCATGCATGCATGCACGTACACGCACACACACACACACACACACACACACACACACACATACATGCATGCATACAAGCAGACACGCACATACTTATAACTTTTTTTTTCTTTCGCACAGTTTTTATGCATGTGTATTCATCTTCTTCTGTTTCTTCTTCTTGTTTGCTGTTGCTGCTGCTACTTCGGATAGCGGAGAGAGGAAGAGCAAAACTTGGAATGTGTTGTTGCAGTTGTTGTTGTTGTAGCTGCTGCCAATGCCACCTTCTGCACGGCACGGCACGACACGACACGGCATGGCACAGCTCCTCTGGAGCCCCCCTCGCCGCTTGGTCTCGCTGCCTCGCGGCAATGGCAGCCAGCCAGGCGGGTAGGCGGGCAGTGTGGCAACTCTGGCTGACGAGCAAGTTTGAATTGTAATCCTTGTTGTTGTAGTTGGCACGCTCGCCTTTAGCTGCTGTTGTTGTTGTTTTACTGGTGCTGTTGCAGCAACAACTTTGCCCCCCGCCTCCAGTTCCCTTCGCTGCCCTCTGCTGATGTCCCTGTTGTGTGCACCTCTCCCCCCCCCCCCGCCAACAAGGCAGCAAACGAACCAGGCAACCAACGAGCCAACCAACTATGTTCGACATCAGCCACTGCCTTTGTCTGTAACCGCCCTGACCCCCCTCCCCCCCTCCCCCTCCCTTCCCGCCCTACTGCTGTTGTTGCACTATGCGTTTTCATCGTTGTCGCCCTTCTCGTTGCCCTTTACATTTCAGTTCGCTTCAGGTCCAACAAACATTCTGTGCCTCATACCCTTCACACATTCGGAGTCGCTGCGAGTTGTTCAGCAGAAAGAAATCATATAGAGCTAGTTCCGATTCCGATCTTTACAAAATAGTTACTTGATTCATTGAAAGAGAACAAGTTGAAATCAATGCAATGCTTGACCCAAAATATGCAACAACACTTTTGAGTAAAAACGAGAGAGCATAAATATATATTTGTATATGCAGAGTAGAGTATCTATGGGGTACATTTACACTCACTCTCAGTCAAAATTCGCACGCTGTTCAACACTAGATGATTTTGCTTAATAGAATGCCGCACACTTTTCAATGTATTCTTATAGTCGAATTACTTTAAGTAGAAATAATAAATGAAAACACATTTAAAGATAGTATTTATATAGATATGTAGCTAGATGTATACATAAAGTAGATAGAAACTTGCAGCTTTAAGCAAAAAGTAAAAGAAAACAATATTCGATAAATACAACATTTAAACCTTGTAGACAATTTGGCATACATAGTATATCTATTCCTCTCGAATTTAAACTCTCTGCCTTATGGTTAGTTAACTTGTTCCAGAGCATGGTTACAAGAGTATCAAATCTTCGGCTTGCCTGATTATGCTTACCGTTTCGTGTTTGCTTGTGTGTGTGTGTGTGTACTTGCATATGCATGGGTATGAGTGTGTACACATTTTATTTAGATTTTAGCTGACTTTTCTTTCTGCCCTGGACTGGCCACTGGCCACAGCAACAAAAGTGCTCCATTAGCTGCAGCCGCTGTCGCTGGCTGCGCATTGACCTGCCCCGCGATTGCATTTATTTGTTGTAGTTGTTGCTGTTGCTGTTAGCTATGCCCTTTTTTGGAGAGTATTACAGCACACACACACACACACACAGACACACTCACACACAATGATGCTGATCAGATGTTATCCGACTGCAGTCACACTCTACAAATAGGGGCATTTTATCTAGCATGCATATGCACATATACACACATACATGCATATATATTTACGCCTGCCTCAACAAAGACTGTCGCCTGTGCCACGCCCCCCTGGCGCAGCAATGTTAACAGCAACGCATTGAGGCGTAACTGTCTTGTGCATGCTTGCATACATATGTTTGTATGCATGTGTGTGTACGCATGTATATGTAAGCATAAAGTTGTAGGTGCATCTTGTCGCCTGCTTTCACAATTCGTCCATTTACCATTTCCATTTATCATGCGCGCAATTTTACTTGACATTATTCAACAATTTGCATCGCTGCTTCCGCAGCAGCAGCAACAGCAGCAGCAGCAGCAAAACCAGCAGCAATACGCATTTCCGCAGCAAAAGTTTTGGCAGCAGCAGCAGGAGAAACAGAAACAACTACAACAACAACAACAACAAAAGCAACATGGCGGCAACGAAGAGCAGCAGCAACAGCAGGAAGACAGTCAGACTTACACCCGAACACCTTTAGCCAGCCTCATTTATATTACGTTACACTCGCTCTCTCACTCTCTCGCTCTCTCTAGCTCTCTTACACGCACGCACACTTACTTATGACGACTACAAGCAAACACAAGCCGCAACATTGCAAAATTTGCTTGCTCACTTCCACGCGCCTGGCGTGTTGTAGTTTTTGTTGCTTTGCTGCTTCTCCATGCATTTTGCTTAATTTCTCACTTGTTCCTTTTCCACATGCACACACACACACACGAACATGCATGCATGCATGCACGCACTCACTCACTCACTCACTCACTCACTCACTCACGCAGCTGCTCTCTACCGCTCATTTGATTTAGTTATTGTAGCAATTTTAATTACCAGCACTTGAATGGGCGACTTTGCCTGCGCCGTTGTCGTCGCTGCCGTCGCTGCCGTCGCTGACGCCGCTGTCGCAACCGCATCACCAAAATATATATGTATGTATATTTAAATGTAAAAGAAATTGAAACAATACAAATGGCTCTGCGGAGTGACTGCTAGTCTACTTTGGCCCCTGACAACCGCCAGGGTCTGACACCTTCGTCTGTCTGTCTGTCTGTCTGTCAGCCTGTCTGTCACTGCGCTGCGCTGCGCCCACAATTTCAAACAGCAGCAACAGCAACAAACACGTTCGTTAAATGCTGAATAAATTTTCTCATATAATCGTCGTCGCAGTCGTCGTCATCGTCATTTTGCTCCCCCTCTTTATCCCTCACTTCGCACCCCACTCCACCCCATCCCAACTAAAGGCAAATGTTGTTGTTGTTTCCATCAGCGCTCTGCTGCCGGCGTCGATGTCGCTGCCGCTGCCACTGCCTGTGCCCGTTGCCATCGCCGTCGCCGTCGCCGTCGCCGTCGCTTCGCACTTGGCTTCGGCTTGGATTGGTTGATGTCGTTTCGTTAGTTTAGTTCGGTAACTCGTCGGTCGCGCAAGCAACAACAGCTACAGCTACGGCAGACGGCTGAAAGCTGAAGCTGAAGCTAAACCAAACGCAAAACCAATGCCAAATGCCAAAAGCGGGCGGCAAAGCTAAGAAAAATTACGAAAAATTTCCTGTGCGCCGCAGAAATAAATTAAATGTATGTGAGTGTGACCGTGTGTGCGTGTGTGTTTGAGTGGGAGAATCAAATAGCGGAGCAAAAGTGTTAGCTAGGCAGCAGCAGCAGCAGAAAGTGTGCGCTCCACTCGATATTTATTTATTATTGCAAAAAGCTAAACCAAAAACAAAAGCAAAAGAAATTGCATTGCATGGGCCAAAAGACGTTGATGGCGTCGGTCGCAGGAAGTGCGACAGATACAGATACAGATACAGCTACAGATACACAAATGCCAAACCTAACCAAATCGTTTGGGCCAAATCCAAAGCAGCCAGCGAAGCTAGCGCGAGAACTCAACCAAGCGAGCAGAGCCCAAAGCAGCGGCAGAGGCAGAGGCAGCAAGTTCTGTCTGTCTGTCTCGAGGCGGCATGTGTGTGCGTTTGTGTCTCTCTCAGTGCAAGTGTGTGTGTGTGTGTGTGTGTGTGTGTGTGTGAGTGTGTGTGCACCCTGGCCACCGTATATTCTTTTGTCAGTTGTATGTGAACTCTATGCCCGCTCTTTGCCTCTTTTTGTTCCTCAAAAGACGCTACCAAAAAGGATTTAAAATTGTCCACAGTTGCGCGAGATGCTGTTGTTATATGTATGTATATGCTATACATACAAACCATACATGCATACATACAAACATACATGTGTACGTACAATTTGCAGTTATCTAAAGCCGCCGCCGCCGTCGCTGCCGCTGCTGCACGTTATACACACAAAACAAAATTGTCAAATCAATAAAAACGCGAGCAAAGTGTCGCCGCAGTCTCTGTCGCTGTCACAGTCAGCGCCAACGTCGCAGTAAGCGTTCGCCTGCGCTTTGCTGTTTAACAGTTGCCATTAACATTAACTGTAAAATTCCAATACTAAGCTGATGAACTTGTTTAAATGACAGATTTAGACAAAGCACAAAAGCTAATCAAAAACTTCATAGCATTTATATATGTATGTGCAAAAGAGATGCAGATAGCCAAGTGCAGAGCTTTTCGCTGTGCTTCTTGTTCTACTATGCTTAAACGAGTTACTGACCAATGCAATAATTAGCTGCTTGCACACATTCATACACACACACACACATGTGTGTGTGTGTGCGCGCTATTGCAACTCCAATAGGATTTATTGCGTCAACTCGGCGTCGGCGTTTTCAGTTTGTATTTTTTTCATGTATCAATAATTACGGCGAAAGAAACGTTGAGAGAAAAAAAAAATAACGAAATTGAAGCAGCGGCGCAATGAACGAATGGCCGAACGAGCAGGCCAACCAGCAACAACAACAACATCATTGGAGACATGTTTGCGCGGCAGCGTCGCTCATTTATTTTATGTCTCGCTGCCGTGGCTGTTATTGTTGTTGTTGTTCTTATTCTTCTTCTTGTTGCTTGGCTAGCTGCTTTTGTTATTGTTGTTGTCGTGGCGTTGGCGCTGCTTGCCCAACCCGGCACGGCCTGGCCTGGCCGATGTTTTCTGTTTGTGTATGCCTTCATGTACACATACATATGTTTGTGTGTGTGTGTGTGTGTGTATACCAAATGTGTGCATGACACGACCCGCAGCGCTGCCAACGTCGCTGTCGCAGTCGCAGTCGCTGTGGCTATAGATGTTGACTGTTGTTGTTGTTGTTGTTGGATATGCTTTGCGCTTTTTGTTTTGCGTTGAATGCCCCTTGGCTCGTCGTCGTCGTCTCCCTTGCCTTGCGACGATCGCTTTGCTCCACTGTGCAAATTGAGAAGTATTTATGTTTTACACACACACACACACACACACACACACATATTAATGTACATATGCATGTGTGTGCGTATAAATAATAGAAAAGTGCGTGGATGCCTTTGCCGCTCTTCTTCAGTTTGAAAACTTGTACACTTACACACATTCGCCCTGGAATCTAACTGCACTTTGGTCTAGCTATGCATGTATGTGTGTGTGTATGTCGCTTCGACAACTTGTCGACCAGTTAAGTTTCTGTTTGCATTCACTCGCGTTTATAATAACTCATTCCACTCAATCCAACTCATTTCGGCTCAGCGCAGAGCAGCGCAGCGCAGCGCAGTTCACTTCACTCATTCGTTTCTAAAATACAATTTTTGTGCTTGTTTTGTTTTTGTTGTCTTTTGCTTTTATTATAACGCAGCTCAGTTGCGGATTTGTTATTTCGATATTTAGTTGGATTTTCTGTTGTCCGTCCTCTGGCTGCCTCTCGCAATGTTTCTACACGTAAAAAGTTGCCGTCTGTGTTTGTCCGTCCGTCCGTCTGTTTGTCGTTCGAGTTTTGTGATGCCGCCGCCGCCGCGACTGCTGCTGCTGCTGCCGTTGGTGGCGGTTTTGTCTCGTTCCTCGCTGATTGCTTTGGCCTGTCCCCCCCCCCCCCCCCCCCCCCCCCCCCCCCCCCCCCCTCCTGCCCCTTGCCTTTCGCCTTTCATTCCCCTTGCCCAGCTCGATTCCAGCTCGTTTTGGGTGTATGCCGCTGTGCAGTGTTTCTTTTTCATATTGTTTAATTTATTTCGTTGGTTTTTATTGTGGTCGTTGCCGTCGTTTCATGTGTGTGTGCGTGTGTGTGTGTCTCTGTGTGTGTGTGTGTGTGCGCTTGTGAATTCGTCATTTCGTGCTGTTGCTGCATTTCCAGTGTCTGTCTCTAGTTGTTCCGTTTTACCTTCGCTCGTTCTCTGTCCATTGCACACAGCTTCGCATTATTATCGCCATCATCCCTTCAAATTGAACTCACATTTTTGAGGCATTCATCATGAATTTGTTTTTCTTGTTTAATTTTAGTCATTTAGTTGCTTTGGGCCCTTTTCTCTGTTTCCCTGCCGTTTCACGCCAGTCACCCTCGCCGCACACACACACACACACACACACACACTCTTGTTGCATCTGCATCTGGATTTGAATCTTTAAAGCAGCTCTGAGCAAAAATATTGCACATTTGCTGCGCCCCCTTCCCCTTTACGCTCTTGGCCTTCCAGTAAATCGGCCGCCATTTGATCGTCTTCCAGCGGCGCATTTGGCATTAACACGCAGAGGCGAGCTCTGTTTCCAGTGGAATGAGCCGATGTCGAGTCAGTGATAAATTATAAATAAGCGTGGGCGTGTGTATTCTGGTCACATATTCTTTGCCTTCTTTAAAGAGCAACAAATATTTTTCAATTGCAAGGCAATGAGATAACCGTAGACATACATACATATATTTCCACGGATCCATTATACATACATATATTAAGTATTCATGCGCATACATATGTATCTAGATATGTTGAAAAGTATATGTTAGTATATATTAGCAATACTGTGGCCAAAACCGTAAGAGCTAGAGATTTACAATGTTAACTGCAGTTACAAATGTAAGGCCAATTCCACCCGGAAGCGTGGAAAAATCGCGGAAAACGCTTGCATGCTTTTTGCTTGACTTTAAGCTCAATTTCAAAGAGCACTATTCAAATTAATTTGAAATGTGTTTCACACTTTTCGGAATATTCACCCGTGCTCGTGGAAATCTTACGATGTATCCCATACAGCCAAAAGCTTTACACAACATTTACTAGCTGGAAAATATATCTCTCATCTTTTCGGTCGCATTTAGGACAATGAAACATTGTCTCTTTAAAGACTGAGAAATCCCTCTGCTTTCTTTCAACTTTCCTGTTAACTTCGAATTCGCAAATGTGACGCAATTCGATTTACTGAATAAATTATTGGCTTTGTTTGTGATCTATGTGGAAATAACCCAATGTCGAATATTGTTTTGGACTTATCTTTAATTGCTTCTACATTCTTAACGCGCGAACAGTTAGTTTAGCTTGGTTTCTTATCAGCTGCGGAATTGGCTCTGGCTACGCTTACTCAATAAACCGAATGTCTTTGTCTTTGGTTGCAGCGCGACTGCGAATTCGACGTTTCATTGGAAAAGTAGCACAAACCGTTAGTTGCCCACACACTGGTCAATTGCTCAACCCGCTCTCTCTCTCTCTCTCTCTCTCTCTCTCTCTCTCTACACTTCCTTGTACACGTTCTCTTCCCATGGTCCGTTTCGTTTCCGTTGTCTTTGTTCGCAGCTGCAGCAAAAGAAATGCATTTCATAAATGAACGAGTTAGTGCTGCCAATTTGGCTATTTTCTGGCTAAAATTTGGCTGTAGCCGAAAACAGCTTTTGCCAACAATTTGTCTGCGAAGAGCTGTTAACATTGAATTTAGCTAATTTTTTGAAGCGGCATTTGCCAACACTGGAACGCAGCCAGGATTGCCTAAAAATACTAAAACTAGAAATTTATTTATCAACTATTGATACACTGGAAAAATGGAGTTGCATAAATGATAACATTTTCCTGAAAAACTGAAAGTGCGAGAGCGAAAGATTTTCAAAAGATGCAATATTGGCAATTGTTCACCAAATGTTGTGTTGCAAACGTTTTGCTCAGGTGGCAACTCTGCCTGTGGCAGGTCTCTATTATTTTGCCAATTAGCTTTCTTGCGCACACGTTCCCTTTGCTTGCCGCAACCCCTCCGCGCGCGAATCTATCTCGAAAGTGGCAACTGACGCGCTCTAGAGCTGACCGACATGTGCGTCATTGTTCTCTGTGCAATGACTCACATGCGACACACACACACACACACACACACACACACACACACGCACACAGACATGCTTATCTGTATCTGATGTATGGTTCTTTGATTCGGAGTGACAAACATTTATTAAACGAATACGAGGCAAAGTCAGTTTTGTGCGGTCGCCTTTAATCTGTTTAATTTCAACAAGTCCACAAAAAGCAACAACGAAAACAAGACTGCACGACTGGAAGATATCCTGTAGAAATGTAGACATACAATATTTGTATCTAGATACTTGGATTCGGCTCGATGAGTTTACGTTCGATCTGATCTCTCGGGACTTCCCCTTTGCCTTTAAAAAAAAACAACGAAACGCGCTAATTGTTAATTTCAATCATCATTTTTTACAATTATAATTCCAAAACTGAACAAACACATCGTTTTGTGTGTTGTCTGTGTGTGCGTGTGTTAAACTGGCCAAAGAGGAGCCGGCAAATATCTAAAATGAAATCATTATTCAAATTTCAAAGTATTTCCCGCAAGTGAGTGAGCAAAAACACACACAAAATACGAGAAGAAGAAGAGCGACATAATTAATCGTTTTAATATGAAAATTTGAATTCAAAAATCTACAAAAGCCACAACAACAAGAGGAAGAGCCATAAAACAACCGAGTTCCAATTGGGAAAACGAATAAGACGAAACAAATTTGTTTTGGTGAGTAAAACAAAGGCAGCAGATAAACAGAGAGAGGGGGAGAGAGAGAGGAATGGGAAGAGTAGTTCTTACAAATATTAAATAAGTTAAATAGTTACAAGTAAAATGAAATCCATGAAAATAAAAGTTTGTAGCAGATACAAATTTCAGTTAAGAACTAGTTGGCCAACAAATTAAATTGTAAGCGAATTGAAAAGATTTTTTTTGAAACGAGCGTAAAAATCATCGATTGCATTTTTGCTCTTCGCTTCTTTCTTTTGTTGACATTTCGAAGAGGCAGGCAAAAAGACTCGAGTGTAACTCCAATTGGAATGTTTCTGTAATTTTTCACATATGTCCAACTCGAAAAGCTGGCCCAAAAAGCTTTGTATTTGTTGCCCGAAAGTTTTGTTATGGATCCTTTGGAGCGGCTCTTTAAGAATTTGCGAATGCACTTATTTTTTAATTTTCAATACGATTAATCGTTTTCTATTCCAATCAGATATCTCATGCTCAGATACAAGTTTTTGTCGTCTCGAGTTGTCAAGTTGGCGTTCTTCTTGGTTATCTGCTTCTTGCCTGTGGCAAGGACTCGTCTGCTGCTTTATCCTTTTGTTGAATAATCCGATTTAAGCCTTAATTAAATACCCCTGCTCTGGTCTCTCTGGTCTCTCTCTCTGTCAAGTATTACATATTTGATTACGTGCAACAAGCGTTTTAATTGTATTTGTTGTCTAATGAAATCACAGACAAGACGTGCGCGGGGGGGGGGGGGCACTTCGTACAGTTGTTAACATTAGTCAAGAGATAATTCGTATTATTTTCCTATAGCCATAAAATTATCCTATCAAAGTTTGGGAAAAATGCATAAACTCTTAGAAATAAGTTAGTGTGGTCGAGTGGGGAGTGCACGACTATGAGATACCCTGATCTCAACTTCGAGTTGTCTTTCTAGCTTCCTTCTATACACACACACACAAGCACGCATGCAACTTTCTGTGCTTCTTCTTCTTATTTACTTAGATCCCATTTCCCCTATGAGAAAATGTTCCTAAATAAATTCGGAGCTTATAGTCCGATTCTCATGATGTTTGAAGCTCTCCAAAACGTGATCCAGTTCTGCGAGTTTTCAAGTTATGCTCCAAAATCCGGGATAAGGATAAACCTTGACTGCGTATATATGCGCATATATCAGAATATCAACTTGATGTCTATAGCTTTAAGGATAGCCGAAATAGACGAACGGCTGGCCGGACATGACCAGACTGACTCAGCTCCGGCTAATAGAGCCGTAATGAGTGTGGCCTGGATTATAGTGGTGCCAGAGGAAATGTCCGCCTAAGAGAGCTCTTCTTGTGGCTCAAGATCCAATTTGAAGCAGCCGCATTTGATTGACTTCAGGCTGAATGTTGTTCATCTGCGATTTGGAGATAATCCACGCCAGGCGACATGTCCAACTGTGAACACCCCTGTCCCAGTTGCCGGTACAGTTACAGCGTCCTCTCTCTCTCTCTCTCTCTCTCTCTCTCTCTCTCTCTCTCTCTCTCTCTCTTGTTATCAAAGTTTGTTGTTGTTGTTGTTGTTGTTGTTGCCATAACAATGACATGGGGCAGCAGAAGCTGAGCACATTTGGTTGCATTCTGTGCAGCCACAAAGCCGCCCAACACACACACACACACACACACACACACCCTAACCTCTAACCCCCGCGCCCAACTTTATTTGGCATGCTCCCCCCTCCCCACCTCATTCCATTACCCTTTCACTCTGCCCATGCATTTGTATTTGTATGTGTGCTTTTCCGTTTGTATTTGTGCACTTGCTCCAACTGCTGCCAGGCCTGGAACAGATGCTGCCTGCTTGCACTGTGCGTCGTCGTCTCTGCTGCTGCCTGCTGCTCGCTGTTGTTGTTGTTGTTGTTGTTGTTGTTTTTATAGCCCGAAGCTCGCTTTGAGTTTTGAGTGGGCAGGCGACGGCGACGGCGGCGGCTTTGGTCTGTTGCAAATGGCAAATACGTCAATGCCTCCCGCATGCCGCCTGCCTGGCTCAACCTCGTTTACTCCTGCACCCCGCCCGCGCACTGTTCGCTCGCTCCGATGCTGCATTGCTCTCACTCTCCTCTCACTCTCCTCTCACTCTCCTCTCTCTCGCTCACTCTCACTCTCTCGCTGCCATTTGCTCGCCTGCGTTCGCCTGCTCATCTGCTCGCTTGCTCCTTCGTGCGCGCTCTCTCGCTCTAATTTATGGGTCGTGTGTGCCCCGTTTCCATTCCACCTCCTGCTGCAGCAGCAACAACAACAGCAACTATTTCACCGTTACATAAATACCCAACTACAACAACAACAACAACAACAACAACCGCAACAAATGCAAGTTTCTGCTGCTGTTGGCTGCATAAATTCATTTGTTTGTTGTTGTTGTTGTTGTTGTTGTTGTTGCTGTTGTTGTTGTTGTTGTTGTTATTACTAGCGCTGCCAGCGTCGCTGCTGTCACTGTCACCGCTGCCTTTGCCCCTTTTCCCCTTTCGGGGCTGGCGGCGTCGTTGCCATTTTCAATTTTAGTTTTGCTTTTGCCTTCGTTCGGTTTGGGTTCGTTACAGCCAACTTCCACTCCTTTGCACACCCCCCCCCCCCCTTATACAATGGCCCCCTTTATGTTGTGCCACCCACGTAACGTGTGTCCTTGCGCGCTCGTTTCCTGTGCGCTCGCTCGCTTCTGCCAAGCCACGCCAAACCGTGCGACAGCCCATGGCTCTGGCTGGGACTTGGTCTGGCTCTGACCCGACCCATTGTCCCGGCTGAGCTGGCCCGTGTCCCGTGTCCCGCGTGCCGTGTCCCTTTTGTCCGCCTCCTTCTCTTCATAGCTCGGCTCAACCTCCCCGTTTCGGTTCAGAGTTTACATTTTATGTGTGCTTGTGCGAGTGTGTGTGTGTGTGTCCGTGTCCTTTTTTTACACAATTTCCTTGAGCGCGCGCAGCCGACAGACCCAACGCCCCCCCGCCTCGTCTGGTTAGCGATATCCTTGATAATAATGTGTACAACACCAAAAAAAACAAGTGGACGAGCCAACATCTTCCACGCAACCAACACCCGCCCTCCCCCCTCCCCCCCCTCCCATCTAGTTCTGCCTGCCTGCCTGGCTAGGCATTCCAGCTGCACTCAAATCCATTTCATTTTATTCCGGTTCTGTTTGGGCATTTCATTTCCACTCTTGCTTCCCTCCCCTCCCCGCTCTCGCCTTCACCCTGCAAGCCACAACAGAATTGGCAGGCGAAGCGTACAGTAAATATTACTTAAAAAGGAAACTCATTCCAACTTTGATTTGCAACCTATTCAAATATATATATAGATATATTATATATGTATATATATATATATAGATAAATTAACATAAATTGTATGTCCTCAAAGCAAAGAATATTTCGTCAACTGTAAGAGGCAGAGAAACGAACGGAAAGAGTATATAAATGGAGGAGTATATTGATGGAAGAGTATATAAATTGAAAGAGCAACAGAACAACTTTTAAACACAAATATATATGTTTGTAAATGTAAACACATTCGACAAGAAAAGAGACGAGTCTGTGTTGATATTTAGGCATATTTCATATTTAATAGCTTTCATTTTAAATGTTACCTTGAAAGTTGTTATACAAAATATTGTTGTTCCGTTCACTTCCGCTCTCGTATTCAAGGTCTGGAGTTTGCCGTACGCTTTAGGCACAGTTCACTGTACACCAGGGTTGCATAGATTTTTAGCTTAAGTGTTGCCACGCTTGCGTTTGACAATTGAAATAAGAATAAGAAAATAAATAACAAATTTAATGCTCTTAAGAAATTATGAAATGCGACAACTGGAAAGTGCATATTTTTGCAATTCGTTTATGGAAATAATGAAATTTTGATTTGCGGTTGACTGAGAGAAAATGCTATGTCAGCTGCAGAAGGCGTTGGCGGGGGGAGGGGGCGGGCCAAGGCGAAAGCGCATAGAGAACATTGAAAGAGGGCAACATCGTTAAATGTTACTGCTGCAGTTTACTTGTTGCTGCAGTCGCAGTCGCAGTCGCAGTCGCTGTTGGCGGCGCAGCTGCGGCTGCAGTCTGGATAGAAACGTTGCAGAAGTGGGGCATAAAACACAAGACCAAGACCAAGACCAAGACCGAGCTAACAAATGAAGATCGCGATGACGGCAAACGGCAAGTTCTCTTTTCACTCAGTTTAGCTGTCTCTGTCTGTTGCTTGCTTGAGTCAATAACCCCGCAGCAGAGAAGCAGCAAGAACAAGAACGAAGCAAGCATGCGAACAAGCGGTATGAGCCGCTCACTCCACGTCTCGCTCGCAGCAAGAGTCAACTTGAGTAATGAGAAGAGGCAAAGTCAAAGTGAACTCAAAATTGTCGGAGCGTTATAAAGTCGCCCGCCAACAATCAAATGAGAGGCGGGGCGGCAACAAGAACAACAACAACAACGATTTGTACCTAAATCTAAAATGTGCAGTCTGTGTGTGTGTGTGTGTGTGTGTGCCTGCACGTCGAAGATGATCAACGAATGCGCGAACAAGTGAACATTAATAAATAAATATGTGTGTATGTGTGTACGTACGTACATATGTATGTATGTGTGTATGTGTGTAGCGAAAGCGCCACGGTTGGAATTGAAACGCGCCAAAGGGACGAGAGCAGCCAATAAACAAAGCAACTCGCACACACACACACACACACGCACGCTAGTTCAGTAATTCATTCACTCACACACACACTCAAAGCTCTCCTGCCGCACACATATACACACATATACATGCATATGCACACTGCACTCGAGCTGTTTCATTTCATAAACGTTCACTTTTCTATAACGTTAACCCAGAATATTTATGCATATGCAAAGCAAAAAAAAAAAAAACAAATACAGTTTAATTAAATAACTCCTTAAATGCGCGAGTGTAAACACAACAAATAACGAGTTCGCATGTGTGTGCGTGCGCGTGCCTATAGCTCTTTCAATGTGTGCAAGTAGTTGTAATGGAACAAGAATTTGCATAGAGTCGCGTAAATGTATTGGTGTGTCTTATGAGAAATCAACAAATTATTGTAAAAGGCGGCGGCGACGACGTTGTGTGTACATGTGTACATATAATACACAAGCAGCGGCATTTGGCAAAGATACACAGCAATAGAAATACACACACATACACACACACGCATACACGCTCAAAATGCGACTGACGGCTGCCAATTGAGCTAGAGATAATCAAGAGCAAAATACAAAATAAAAAAAAAAAACAAAAAAACAACAAGAAACAAACATGAAAAGCTCGTGGATGGTTAGCGAAGCGAAGGGGTCGCGTGTGGGTATCGACTGGCAGCGACGCCAGCGGCGGCGTCAGGCGTCGAGCACAATAAAAAGAATTTCACATTTGTACTCTGTCAGTCACAAATATTGAAACGACAGGCGGCAGGGCAGAGGCGGTCGGTCGGTCCGTCGGTCGACGGGTCGGTCAGTTGCGTCGAGAGAGTCGCGGCAGGCTGGCAGCGTCCGTCATTCGCTATGGGCAAAAAAAAATATATATATATATGTATATACATATATATCTACACGTCAAGTTAGCGCAAAAAAGAAAAGAAAAAATCAACAAAAGCAGCAGCAGCAGCAATCGCTTTGGTCGCTCCCTCCCCCATTCGCATTCCCATTCCCATTCCCATTCCCATACGCACGCTTCGCGCACCTTTTCATTGGCAGCGCGTCGACGACGGCGTCGCTGTCGACGTTGTCAGCGGTGACAGCGTCAACGATAAATGCTCGAATCATATTGCCAACGCTTTGCTGTTGTTTCTATTGTTGTTGTGGCGCGCGCTTGCTCAGCTCACACCCTCACACACACACACACACACACACACATATATACGAACCCATATACAGACTTTGCTGCTGCCGTTGACGACGTTTTGACCCGAGCAGAGGTCCAACTGTGCGGTTGCCCTCATAAAACTTTAAGCGAAGCATAAGAAAAGACACAACAACAACAACAACAAGTAGAAGCGGGCGGGGAACGCTGGCAACAGCAAAAACAACATTACCGTTAACTCAAGTATTGTGTTCTTTTCCTTTTCCTTTTACTATTGACGCATATCGTGGCGATATATTAAGCAATTTAATATTCGTAAATGCCCCCAACCACCTCACTTACACACACACACACACACACAGAGACAGACTCCACATGCTGTGTGATAAGCAGACACATCTGTCGGCTGATGCGTGACAGCAGAAAGCGCAATAACTGTTATTAAGAAGGCAAGAGGAGCAAAAGTGGGCTACACCTTTATTGTGGCACTGTGGACTGCTAAACGTATGCTCATTAAAATGATAAATACATAAAATTATGCATTTTCTTTTTCGCAACAGAAAAACAACAACAAAAAAAATGTGTAATTATCAACCACTGTGAAAACGCGTCGCTGTCGCTGTCGCCGTCGCCGTCGCCGTCGCTGTCGCTGTCGAACACAACGTCAGCGTCGGCATCGGTCCATTCATTGCGCCTCTCACACTCGTGCCACGGCACCGCTCTCATGTTTCAATTCCACTTGTAACGTACCGAGCGCGTTTTTGTTTTCTCACATTGTCGCTCTCAGTCGCCGCGTTATCCCACAGATATTTGGTTTGCTTTTCGCCAACGCTTGTCCGTAAATAATTTCATTTGTGGATTAAAACTACAAAACGCTAACAAAAATTGTTGAAAAAAAATATGTGAAATGTATCAGAAAATACGGCTGATGCATGAAAGGTGCCGTTTTTTAAGTAAGCATCCGCGTCGACTATTGTATTTATTGTTTAAGCAGGCCGACAGACTGTCTGTGTCTCAGTCGGCTCTTAGTCAGCAGCGTCGGCAGCGCGGTGACGTCGTCGGCGTAGCGGCGGCGTTCATATGCAGAATGTGTGAAATGCAAATGCAAGCAAAACTTGAGCTGCAACAATTTATGAATGAAATTTACAAAAAGAGAAACCAAACATGTATATGTATAAAAACAACAACAAAATGTACTCAGCTAAAAAGCTACTCAAAGCAAATCGAACGGCATTTTCTTCTTTTTTTTTTTCTTTCGCTTTGTGTATGCATAGTTCGCCGCAGCACAGCGGCTTATGTATGCGCCTGTGGGGTCCGTGAATGCGAGTGTGTGTGTGTGTGTGTCGATTTTGCTTGCAATAGATTAATCGGATTATTTGTGTTTAATATTTTTGCATAGCTCTATAAAAAGGTTGCATTTTTTTGACTTTTCCTGCGTTTTGCAATGCAATTTGTTAATAAGTTGCCGTTCGCCGCATTTTTTCTGTTACGCTGTGTGTGAGTTGCGCGCTGCGCGACGCTGCGAATTCGCTCTGTTTCTGTTTTCCCCTGTATGCAGGTGTAGTGGTGAGTGAGTGAGTGAGTGAGCAAGCCGCAGCCACGGCGTCTCTGTTCGTATTCTCTCACGCATTGCTCGCACGCATACAGCTACAAGAGCGCGACCGCTGCCCGCTTCCGTTCGGGTTTTGTGTGGAAGTTGTGTGTGTAGTTTTTTTTGTAGTTTTGTTTTGATTTTCATGTTTCTTGTGCTTCCTCTTTGCGCTCCACATCGCAGAGTCGCCGAAATGGCGTTGCCAACATTAAGAGCGAAAACAAGAGTGAGAGCAGCGCCTAAGTGAGATTCGTGATGAGTTCAATTGAGAGTAACTGACATTTTAATTAATAAGCTAACCACATTTTGCATTCTCTCTCTTTTATCAACTTGCAGACAGAAGAAGCACAATAATAATTACATTATTAACAACAACAACAACAAGAACAACTGTAAAAACAAACAACACCAATTTTGCACTTTAACATGAACAAAAATGCCGGCGATGGCAGCGGCAACGACGGCAAAAACTCAAACAATCACGGCAAGGGCGGCTCCGGCGGGGGTGGCGGCGCAGGGGCGGGCGGGCCCCACGATCCCACCGGACTATTAGATGCTGCATCGCTGTTTGGTAAGTGCTCAAAAAAAAAAAAAAAAAAACACAAAATATACACATGTAGTTAACATATTTTGTAAATTGTGCGCGTTGCTTGTTCTGCTTCTTGCCTGCAGCGTATTGGGGCCGAGATCCCACTGGAGCTGCAGCCGCAGCTGCTTCAAATCCGCTCTTCAACTCGCAGTTCAATGCTGCCGCGGCCGCCGGCTTGGGCCTATTACCAAATGCTGCCGGCGCAGCGGCTGCCAATGATCGTTACTCATCAATGGCCGCAGCAGCTGCGGCAGCTGCTGGCGCCCACCATCACCAGAACACAATGGCCGTCGCGGCCTCCCAGGCCGCCAGCCTGGCAGGTCTGCATCCAGCAAGTGAGTAAAATGTCGGCATCGACACTCGTCCACATTAATTAGCATACGAACAACAACAAACGTTACACGAAATGCGAGTCGACAAGGCCAACAAACGAGACGTGAAAAAGGGTATAAGTAGCTACTGCGACGCATGCAGCAGAGCAGCTGTGTTGGCGCTGCCCGCTAAAAAGTGCGTGCGACACGTTTAAAAGAGAGCGGGAAAGAAAGGAACGAGAGTTCTGACAGAGAACCGACGCAAGTTCGAGTCCCGGTCAAGCCCAGAAAAATAAATAAAAGCAAAAATAATTCAATATCAACTTTACTTTAACACCACAGTATTTGCTGTTTGGGAATTATAGTGCAATTATTCAAAATTATTTAATAAGAGGATGTTGTGAGTGAAGGAGGAGAAGGGGAGGATGAATAGAGTGATATTCTTCTTTGTTTGGAGTTCAACAGCGAGTGTCTCGTCCAATCCGCGCGATTCACTTGAAGAAAACGCTCCTAAAGCAACAATTTCGCTTGCTGTTTTAAAGCTTTACGCTTTGTCAGCTGCTCTCTCTTGGCCAACAAAGCGATAAATAGTCAAGCATATTTTTATAATTTATTATTCTTATACAATTGTTCTCTTATACTTGTGTTATTATTCTCTCTGATAATTGTTTTAAGTTTCGTTGATTTCATTTCCTTTGAATGTTTTTGTTAATAAGTGTAATATAAATTTATTGTTTTTGTTAGATATTTGTTTGTATTTTGGGCTTTTGTAAGGTAAAGAAATATACATTCCTATATTAGCAATAAATTGTACATAGATTCAATTTCCGCCGATCGTCTGATCTGTTTGTAAAACTAATGCTAAATGTAATTTGCAGGCTGGTGGTCCATGGCTCAGTTGGCCGCACAGGATTACTTTAGCCGGCTGCAGGCCTCCGGACTGTCGCCGTTTCCCCATCCCGATCTGGCAGCTGCCTTTGGGCCCGCCGCCATGGCCATGGGTGGCGGCGGCACGGGCTCCGGTGCGGGCGCAGCGGGCGGCGCGGGCATGGTCGGAGTAGGTGGTGGAGGTGGCGCCGCGGGCGGCGGCAGCGGCTCCAGCAGCAAGTCGAACAAGTCGCGCAAGGAGAAACGCGCCGCCCAACAGCAGCAGCAGCAACAACAACAGCAACAGCAGCAGCAGAATCTGGCCAACAGCCTGAACGCCGCGGCGGCAGCAGCAGCTGCCGCAGCAGCCAACAATCCCGCCGCGGCCTTGGCCAGCATGCACGGCTTTGGACTGCCGGGCACCAGCATGCCGCCTTCCGGCAGCAGCGCCTCCATCTCGACAAGCAGCGCGGGCCACGGCGGCTACAAGGTGAGACCCTGTCTGCTGAGCAGCTTGTTTATTTCTTGTCAACTCTTATCATTCGGCAATATGCCTGCTGATCTACTTCGATCAAAACAGCCCTTGGCTGAAAGAGCTCCTCTCTTAGTTCTTGACATGAACCTTGACATTAATTAGATCCAAGGATAGTTTTTCTGTGTAATTTGTCTTAGTTTTCACTTGAATCTTCAATTTATTGCAGAGCACTGCCAGCGCGTATGGCAAGCCCTCGACAATGACCAGCAGCGGCAGCAGCAACAGTATTGCGAGTAATCCTGGCTCTGCCTACGATCCGGTCACCCTGCACAAAGAGCTGCTGGCCATGCAGGCCGTCGCAGCGGCCGCCTCCGGCTCTGGCGTGGGCGGCATGTCGGGTCTCGGCAGTGGCGGCGGCTCCAACAGTTCCTCTGGCAAGAAATCTAGCGGAGCTGGTGGTGGCTCATCGCTGCATGCCCACGGTCTGTCCAACCTGGCCATGAGCCTGGGCGCAGGCGGCAGCGGTGGTGGCGGCAGTGGAGGTGGCATCATGTCCAGCAGCAAGGCGTCGACCAACGTCAGCTCAAGCTCGAGCGGCGGCGCCTCGCTGAGTGGCATGCACCCGAGCATGTCCATGTCGCCGCATGCAAACATCTCCGGCAGCGGCATGGGCAGCTCTGGCAAGGATCGGGATCGCGACAAGAACAATCCGTCGCTCAATGCCCTCAACTCGCTCTCACAATTCGGCGCACTCGGCATGACGCCCCAGCAGAGCGTGCAGGCGGCCATGAATGCGTTTGCGGCGAGCAGCGGAGCCGCTGCCAGCGCCACGGTCACCTCCGCGGCACATCTGTCACAGCAGCAGCAGCAACAGCAGGTGGCCAGCACAACGATGGCCGGCAGCGGGAACAAAGGCAGCGCCAAGGACTACATGAGCAATGCGGCCATGATGAGCAGGTGAGCGGAAGCTCAGAATTTCGAGCAGAAGCAAGTGAATTACTAATCAATTTTGCATCTACTTTGCAGCGGCAGCGAACATCCGTCGCTGTTGGGTGTGAGACTGCCGCCGGATACGGAGATTATCAAGTACACGTCCTCCATCGTGGGCCCCAAGATACCCGGTAGTACTTCACGCGGTCGCAAGAAGACCATATCCGAAACAGAACAACAGCAACAACAGTCCACACAGAAACAACAACAACAACAACAACAACACCAAGCAGAACAACAGCAACAACAACAACAACAACACCTTACACAACAACAACAGCAACAGCAGCAAAAGGATTTAGAAAGCACAACAAATGCAATTACCTCTCTGCTTGCATTTCCAGGGCTCAGTCCGTCGAAGCGCGCCAGACTCGAAATGGAGTACGCCGCAATGGCGGCAGCAGCACAGCAGCAGCAGCATCTGCACGGCATGCTGGGCGCCGCCGGTATGCCCATGGGTCTGGGCATGAGTCCCATGGATCAGCTAAGTGGCGTCTCTAAGGCGGCTGTTTCCGCATCGTCGTCATCGTCGACGGTGACCAGCACGGCTGGCTCCACAGCCGGTCACAGTCAGAGCCACAGTCACAGCCAGAATGCGTCCAACGATCGGGTGGAGGTCATCAAGTTGCCGCCGACCATTACCTCGAACGGCGCATACAATCTGTCCAACAAGGGTTGCGGCAAGGAGCTGCACGACCTGACCACCGACCCTTCACTGGCCTCTGGTGTTAATCTCAGCTTGAAGTCGAGTGCTTTGCCCGCCACCGGCGCCATTGGCTCCGCCTCCAATCCCATTACCATAGACGACTTTGATGCACCACTGAATCTGTCCATGAAACCCTCGGACAAAAATAGTTCAAACAGCATGAACGCCACAGCAGCAGCAGGAGCATCGTCTGCTGCCTCTTCAGCGGCTTCCTCGGCGCTGGGCAATCTGGCCAGCGACTATCAGGCGCAGGGCAGCGGCGGCAGCGGTTCGAATAGCTTGCAGAGCTTGAGCTCCATAACCGCTGCCTTGGGCGGCACCGGTGGCATGCCTGGCGGATCCATTTCCGGCAGCGGCAGTGGAGCAGGCGGTGCTTCGCCTTCGCCGGCACAGGGCAGCATGCCAGCTGCGTCGGGCACGTCTAGCTCTGGCTCTGGCTCTGGGTCTGGCTCCTCCACATATAAGGAGGGACGACCGCGCAACTTGGGCCGTGGCGTGTCCAAGCCCAAGAAGAACACGGTGGCCTCGCTGCTGGCGCAGTCACGCGCCGTGGGACTGAAGCCAATGCTGGCCACGCAGCAGTTGCTCCAACAGGGCGCGGACATTGTAAGGCTATAGACTGCTCTTGGTTAGCTTTGGCTAATTGCTTTTATTTCGTGCAGGAAAAGATACGCTTGGCGCTGAGCGAGGCTAACGCACACATGGAAACGTCAACGGACTCGGAGAGCGTCGCCGCCGAGAGCGGACTTTCGGAGTCGGAGAGCGAGGATGCCAACATACTGAATGTGGCAGAGCTGCGTGTGCCCCTAGAGCTCGGCTGGAAGCGAGATACAGTCATACGCGGCTTAACCAAGCAGGGTCAGATACGCGGCGAGGTCACCTACTACGCACCGGGCAGCACCCTGCCCCTGAAGACCATTGGCCAAGTGTTTGCTGTGAGTTTGTAGGGCGCATTTGTAATTTGTAATACGCGACACACTAGCTGAAGGAGCACATTTTATTACATGCGAAAATGTCGAGAGTAAAACATGTACCCTTTTTGTTTTTGTCCCTGTTTAGCTCTTGGAGCAGCAGCCATCGAGTCTGACGCGCGAGAACTTTAGTTTCTCGGCGCGTGCCATTGTGGGCTCGTTCCTGCAGCCCGCGCCACCGCCCTATGCCAACGATGGCGAGTACATACGAATGACGGACGAGGATGTGGCGAAGCGGCTGGAGGATCTGAAAGTATTTACGCGACAGACGCTCAACGTGGAGCAGCGCATTGAGATCGCCAAGCAGCAGCAGGCGATGCGCGATGCCAAGAAACAGCAGAAGGAGGAGCTGGCCCGCAACAAGGAGAAGGCGCGCCAGGAGAAGAATGCCAAGCTGGAGCAGCAGCGCAAGGAGAAGGAACTGAAGAACCAGCAGGCCATCGAGGTAAGCACAGCACACCAAATTC